TAATAACGAAAATTAAGTTGGAATTAAATTGTAATTAATAGAAATTAATAGGAAAACAATGAACTTAAGATGAATTAATAAAATTAATTCGCGGAATTGATTTGGAATTGAATTCGCGGAATTATTTGTAAATTACTAAATGTTTTCTAGAATTACTGGATTTTTTTGGAATTACTAAAATTCTTTTTGAAATTATCGGAAAGAATTTATTATTTTGAAATTTAGGTTGAATTTCCTAGAACTATCAAAACTAATTCAGAATTACAGAAATTATTTTAAAATTGGAAAATTACGAAAATTAACTTGTAATTACAAGAATGAATTGAGAATTATAAAAATTAATCTAAAGGCAATAAAATTACGGTATTTTTTTAATTACTTACCGGAATTTTTAAAATTACTGAAATTCTTTTTGAACGGAAATTAAGTTGGAATTACAGAAATTAAATTAGAATTATAAGAATTAATCTAAAAAGAGTAGAATTACGACGAATTAATAGAATTACTTATTCTGGAATTAATTTTGGAATTATCGGAGTTAATTTATTCTTTTGGAAATTACGTTGAATTTCTTAAAACTATCGGAATTACTTTGGAATTACAGATATTATTTCTTAATTACAAAAATTTAAGTTGGAATTACAGGAACTAATTGGGAATTATAGGTATTAATCTAAAAACAGTAAAATTTCGATGTATTTTTTTGGAATTACTGAAATTTTGGTAGATTTCTTCAGAATTGAGTAACGGCCCCCCGGTGGGGGAGTACCTGAAGACAGTCTTGTTTCAGGTCGGCCATGGTCGACTTCAGTTGCTTGAAAGGGTAAGAAGCCGGGACGTTGGCGTCCATTATTACCATACTGGGCATGAGATTGGGCACATGAGGGATTAATTTTCGGACAGTTTCGAGGGTTTTCTGGGCGTCGGGACATATCCACTCGCCGTTTTGGGTTTTCACAGCCCGAGTCAAGTCCACGTGAGTGGCCACTAACAAGACTTGGCCATGTGAAGCTGTCAAAAAACGCAAAAAAATTCACAAAAAAAATCCAAATTGGTGTTTCAACTCYATTTTATTGGTTTTTGAAAAAAAAGTTGTCAAAAATAAACAGAA